ATATTCAAATGATAATATTCAAAGCGTAAGAGCCACTCTGTATATAATTAAAACTACTCATCTACAAGTATACGATCGAGTGATAAATGGAAGTTGTAACAATTATTCATCGTATATAACTTAAACTATTTTTTTTTTTTTTTAACCCCGGAAGAAGTTTATGTTTATAGAACAGTTTACAATTAAGGATTTAAATTGTTTGATTTATTTTCCTCTTGTTATTAAAGCCAGACAATATTTATTATTCTCATCAGTATCCAGACATTCCCAAGAGCATCAGACGAGGTTCCCCATCGAAGTGAATCATTCCCACAATCTAAAAGGGATCGATCGAATATGACGTCACTGTTTAACCGCAACAGTCGAAGGTCACACTCTAGCGATACAATCGGATCAATTGTACCCATTCCGGCTTACTTCGCTTCTGATGTTGGGGAGGAAGAAGGGAAGAAGAGAGTTTTTCGAAGGTTTACGTAGCTTAATAAGTCTTTTCCGAACGGTCCAAGGCGTGTATTAAAGATACGATTATCGCTTCCGATTTTCACAGAACACTGGCAAAACCATCGCTTTCAGAAAGTTGTAGATGCTTAAATGGCTACTTTCCGTGACATCTATCATGTAGACTTTATATATGTGTGTGCGAGAGGGAGTTTCTTCCATCATACAGTTTGTCTCTTTGACGACTCTTTTGGCTTTTGTGTAGAAACCAGTAAGTTTCGTAGAAAAATTGCCTGCAGTTTATTCGTTATTTTACTCCTCCCTCTCTTCCTTATACTCATTTTCTTTAAAAAAATTTCAGTACAAACATATAAAAATGAAAAAAGAACTTAAGTGAATAATAATAATAATAAATATAATTTTATAAATATTCAGAAAAATAAAAGAATACATTAAAGTCCCTTGCATAAATATAAGGTGCGTAAAAAAAAATTTTTTTTACATATAAATGGGTTTAAAAAGAAATTGATTTTATAGAAAATATTATTTTAAAAAATACTTAAAAGTTGGAAGAATAAAATAATAAAATAAATTATTATTGTTTATAAGTGAAATAGTTCAAATAAATAAGGAAGAGACCTCATAAATATTTAAACGTTTGCCTTTCTAAATATATGCCTGTAAACTCTATCGAAATTACTATTATGTCAAATAGATAAATGTTATCATTCAGTAAATCTGTTAAGAGAATTGTCAAACTAAATATTAAAAATGTTATTTTAATATTTTATTTTTATTATTGCCTTTAAGTTTTAACAAGCAACATAACGTGTTTTACACATATATACAAGCTGTTGTGTTGAATAAAGGCAATTATTCATCACAGAAAGTATTAACTATTTGTGTCCATAATTAAACACTCTCCGCTGTCATCCCGAATCCAAAGATGATTTACTTCGGCTGTTTATAAGAGGTTCTAAGCTACTAGTATGATTCATGCCGCACAGCGCGAATACACTTTGTTTTTGATGGTTATTGGTGCATAAATCTTGAACCGACGACGATGCTACTAAATGAGGTCCTCCTGAAAAATAAAAAAATTGTTAATAAATTTCTTTTTTTTCATGTTTCGAGAACATTAATTTCTAAGCATAAAACTTCGAATTAATTTAGCCATTCTGTGTTAAATTAAGGACGAATTAATTATATATATAGTGACCGATGAAGATAGCGAAAAGATAATTATTTTGTTTAAATAATATCAGTATAAAATGTATTTTATTCTTTTATTCTAGAGAGAAATTCTAGTGAAAAAAAAATATGTGTTTCTTTTCGAATTGATTTTTAATTTAATAAATTATTCCAACAATATACATGTATAAAAACACCTACGAGTTGTATCATGTAGTACTCTTTAGACATTATTTTAAAAAAAAAAGTTCTCAATTTTTTTAATTATTCAAAAAGATTCAAGAATTCAGTCGGTTATTTTAAAGTTTTACAAATTTCTTTATTTTATATAAATTTTGTCTTAGAAATTTATTGTTCTAGCTTTTCTATTTTTATACAGAAACTTGCATAAAGCAAACTATTTAAAAATAAATGACATATTTTTTTGAAAAAAAAATAATAATAAAAGGATAAAAATGAATGTAATGAGATTAAATATAAACGTTCTTGATAAAAATATTTCTTAAGAAATTAAAAAAAAAAAAAAAGAAAGAAAAACTTTTATTATTATAAATCAAAATTCTAAAGAAACGTTATCATTTTCCGGTTTTTACAACGTTGATTTTACATTATAAAACATTTTTCTTATATATTTTTATAATTAATAATCGTATCGATTACGTTAATATACAGGGTGGCCCAAAAGTCACTTAACCGCTTTTATTTCGAATATTCAAGATACATTTGAGAGTGTAAACAAGTTTTACACAATCAAACAATTGAATAAGGCAGAAATTTGGTCTCTACAACAGCTATATGATTTTTTTGACCATCCTGTATTATCTGAATATACTAAATGGATAATTAAAAATAAACATTTTTGAATATAACATATTCAAAATAAATTATCATGTTTATTTTTTAATTAGAAATTAATTATTTCTTTCTTCGTAAGAAGGATCTTTTAAATAAATGTCACCCATCAATTATTAGGTGTTATATAAGAGAAATCGAATGCTGCCAAAGGTAAAATATAATATATCTTACCTGTTAGCTGTCGATTATCCTTAACAGGTGCCAAACATCTAGAATCGACATCGCCATTAACTCCCGATAAGCCAGGTAAAGATCCAGTAACCATAGGTACCGAAGGAAATGAAAATGGACGAAATCCCGCTTTGGCCAACCACTTCGTTTTTGAAGGTATCGACAGGAATTTATTGGGTACTGGTGATATATCCGATGCTCTTCTCGTACCGAGTTCAGAGACGTGAGTATCGAAACTTCTTTGATCTGTAAGAGGAAACGAAACCTATAAAGAAGTGTCTGCCTGGATTCTAGCAAAGATAAAGATCACTTTTTTTCTCTTTTAATCGCAGAATAACAAAAGACGAACAGTTAAAACGGCTTTATTGTGAAGTACTCCATCTCCTTAACCACTAAAGAGATAAAGTCTTTGGCCTCCTGCCAGATAGTTTCGCATTATACCATCATTTCCTTTAGGTTGTTATCTTGTTAATACATAAATGTTAAATCCTTTCTTTAATTACCTAATATTTGTTATTTTAAAGCGTCATCTTTACTCTTCTAATTGTGTAATACAAAACCACGTGATTAATGCGAACAACAAATTATGCCCTTAAACTCTCTGTATGGTAACGATACCATCGTTAATAGATAAAATATATTATTTGTATTATCTGACTCTTCTCCTCTCTCTCTCTCTCTCGCTCCTTCCGATCGTGATAAAAAAAAATTATATTTACACACGAAATTTATGTTAGAAAAAATAAAAGCTTTCTTGTCATAACGACGATAAAAAGTAACATTCTTTAGGATAAAGCAAAGGCTATATCATCACATTAATATTATAAATTGCTCTGACCTGAATGATACTTTTGTCTTTGAAACTCTAAAACCTCCCTCACTCTGGGATCTAAGGCATCGACTCCGGCTTTTGTCATAAGAGGATTTAAATCTTTCAATCTTTGCCCTTCCAAGGAATCAAATTGCTACAAATATAACAATAAGATTATACAAATATTAAATATAGAAAGAATAAGGTATTCATTTTTGAACAATTTTTATAAATAGAAAAAGAAAATTGTACATTAAATGTTATTATTAGATGCAGAGGCACCCCTGTAAATCATGTTTCTCCGCATGTATCAGCTACTCGGAAGAGAAGTCTACATTTTCAAAGATTCGGTTCAAATAAAAAAACATCCGTTCAGAATATCAGAAGAGTATTATTTGATATAGAACTACTTCCCTATTCTACTGACATGTTAGTATAGAATATATTGAGCTCTTGTATTCCACACAGATGTTGCATCATTTGTTAAAAATAACTTGTAGGGAATGAGTCAGAACATAAAAGAGGATGCACCTGATTCTCTCCCACTGAGGGAGTTAATGATATAATCGATCTTCTTATAATTCAATCTTAAATTGTATACTGTCACTTGAAAAATGATTTCTTTCTCCTTATTATTAAAATTATATTACTGGATAATACAACTTTCTCTAACACCTAAAGATTTCATGATATTTACATTTATCACTGTAGGTATTTCTTTCTACATAACTCTTTCTGGATATTTATAATCAAGAATCACTTTTTATCCGTTTGGCAGCAGTCCATCTTATTCCAAGAAAAAATACTGCATTAAATGTCGTTCGATATGTCGACAATTTAATGTGTTGCCTTTTGAGATTGGCCAATTAACGTCACGTGATTGATAAAGTATTGAAGGTCGACGACTCCTCCCTCCCTTTGTACATTGACTTTCGGTATTTATGAATAATTTATTTGTATTATCTTTATAAAATATTTCGCATAAGAAAAAAAAAAAAATGGAACATCGCATACCAAAATAAATTATTTGTTTATAATAATTTCGAGCAATTCTTTATACGAAAATGTTTTATTTTTATCGTGACGAAAATCAGATGGTCATTAAAATAGCTATTAAAACGTTTATTTGTAGCATGTAAAGATTAAAGTTCTAGTAGAGATCTGTCAATATTTAGGCATATTTCGCTGTTGTGTGAATTTTAACAAAGTTTAAACACGTAATATGCTTTTAAGTATATATTTAAAAACAAAATAATAATATAGATATAATCAGAAATTTACTTTCTTTAACTAATTATCAGAGGCAGATTAGAAGACAGGAGGAACAAGACAATTTGAATCCCTCTCTTAGAGCCTGCCTTTGCTAATTAGATAGAGCACCTCACATATAGAACCTCAAATTTATTCTTTTATGTAAAAAAAACAAAATATAAAAGCGATATAAATTAAAGTGTTTTTTGACAAGTAATTGAAATTTTTATGTATTTTATTGATTTTTTTAATATATTTTTATGTCTTTCAGAGAGCGTTGAGGCTCTACATTTGTCCTCATCAACCTCTATTAGTCTGTAAGCAGAAGAGAGCACTTATTATTAATAAACAGCAGAATAAATTTGAGCTTATAACATTGAGTAAATAATATTTAAAATAGTCATATTATTTCTTAAGAATTCTTATAAGACAAAATTCAATTTGTAAGGTAGATAATCTACTTACAGTTGGTGATACGCTCATAGTTTTAACCATATTTCCTTCGATCCATTGCATTTCTCGATGAAAGTGCTGAGGAGAATCAGATTTACTAAGAAAGACAAACTGCGAGATATTTTGAGGAAACTGCGGAGGTGGACTCCTGATCAGATGTTGATGGAGACTGACGCAATCCTCTTCCGTACTGTCCACTTCGCATTTTAGTTGAGGCAATTTTTGTGGAGAAGTCGAACGGGAAGATTGACACGACTGAATATCTTCTTGATAAGACATTCTTTCCAGCTGTTGCTGCAAATAAGGGTTATCTTGCCTGGATAATCTAAGTGCGGCCATATCGCTATCCACATCACGTGTTTTTACGGAAGCTGGCGAGGAGCTGCGTGATAGTTCGGGAGTTCGATCATAATGGGTGGTACCTCCTGTTATTGGAACTGGAGAACTTCGTGCTTTTTTACTAACGATCTCATCGTTACCCTGATTCGAAGAATTTCTATTTTCGATATTATCTTCTCCACTTTCAACGTTATCGTTGTCAGATTCTTGCGTTTTTCGTCTGAAAAAGTAAAAATAAAAGGGTTTGTAAAGGTCACAATCACGATAATCGATATAGTGACGGAATCTTCAAAGAAGCAAAGAGTAGATACAAAGCAGATAACTACGAAAACAAGCAACACACACTACAACTACGACTCTTATTTCTCCATAGAAACAATATTTATATTATTTACTCAAGCTTTTATTATCCCAAGCTAAATTCTATAGAAATAAACTGGTTTTCAAATTTATTATAAAAAAAAAAACATTTAAAGAACTAAAAACTTTATATAAATATATTAGAAAGTTAGTTATTAATAATAAATATTTTAATTATTAACTTAAATTATCTTTTAAAATAGTAATAAATAAATAAATAATTTGAAATTTTCTAGTAACTATTCTCTAAATCACTTAAAATTTTCATCATCTTCGAGTAAATGGCGATGAACGATTGTATAACTAGCATCGTACTTCAAAGGAAATGGTTTCGAGTGAAGTATTACGCTACTTCACCACTCTCCACAATGAATATCTAAACCAGATACTTAGCAATTCTAGATTTGTTGATATCCAACATCTCCAATGATTTGATACTGATTTTACTACCAATCGATAAAAGGAAAGTAAAGTATAAAATGCAAACCTTTCAGAATTATTACCTGAATATAGAAGCGAAGAGATCGAAAGGATTACGTTTTGTTGCGGTATTATCCATGGCTAAAGCCTGAGAAGTAGAATGCAGCATTCTGAAAATCGTCAAGGCGATAGTGTTTATTAAAAATATTACATTTTTTTTTTCCTTCTTAATTTTCTCTTATTTATATTATTTATAATAAAAATAAAATAATAAAAATAGAAATTCTGGTAAGTAAGTAAATGTTACGCCCTATACAAACATTATTTCTTATCTATTTTAAAAGTAAAATTGCATAACTAACCATTTCAAATGTAATATTGTATTGTTTAACTCATCATTTTTGAATTTTTACATTAAAATACATATATAATACATATATATATCTTCATAATTTAACAGATATGAG